TGGCTGTCCACTGAGGCATGGAGTGGTAAGTGTAACAGGCAGTTAGTTACAAGAGGCTCAGAGAATTTGTGGCGTTCCCCCCCAAAAGGAGAGGTCAATCCTCACAGTATGTGCCGGGAGGTTGGACAGTGCAATCCCCGAGAGCCAGGTCTGTGGCTACCCCTGACCACTTGTCAGAGTCCCTCAGTGCTGCCTCTCACTCGCACAAGAAAGCTCTCCAGGGATCTGCTACAGGGAGCAGAGAAGATACCACTTTGAAATGCTGCCTTACCCATCCTTTCCCATCTCTTTAGAACAGCTGCTGAGTGACACCTTCCAACCTGTCTGCAGCCTAAGCAGAAGATCCCTGTTAGTGATGCTTCATGCGGCTCGCTGGGTGCCCAGGAGAGGGCATCTTTTGGACATGGGGAGCAAGTGGCTGAGCCTGAGGGCAGCCTGACCTTCAGGGTGGGCAGCGAGCCTGGCCTTTGGACTGGGCAGCTGCCCTGGCCTGGGGCCTCAAAGGCTCGGTGCTGCCCTCGCTGCAAGCGAGACGTGCAGGCTATGGGTTGTCATTAAAGGTCTCCACAGCACCGTGCTGGCAGTCATATAAAAACTGGCAGGCTTGTGCTGGTCTCTGGCCAGAGGCTCTCCAGCCTCCGGCCCACTGCACCCTGCTGACATGGTTGTGGATTAAGTCCTGTCCTTTCTGTACTATGTGCTTTCCTCCCCCTCTTCCTGCACAATCCTCTTCTGCCTTTAACCCCTTTGCTTTCCTCCCTGGCAAATGCGGTGGGGTAGGGGTTTGTCATTAAAATGAAGCTGTGAATAGTTTGTTTCACTCTGCCTCTGGGAAGCAGATTGATAAACTTCCAGGGAGAGATTTATAAACCTGTGGGCGACTGACAGCCAGGAACAATTACGTGCTATTTTCGGACTCTGTAGGTCTCTTCCTGCGCTGGAAGAGACCTGGTCCTGTTTTCCCAAGGAGGAACAGAGACAGGGAGAAGTCCCCTCCTGGACTGTAGAGCTAATTTGCAGGCTCCCACAACAGCACTGAAGTAACTATAATTGCTTTAGTGTGTGGGCCTTCTGCTGCCCTGGTAAAATCTGAGCACAGACCAAGCCAAAGCCAGCACCTTTACTAACCACAAAAGAAATGCATTGCCTGCTGATGTTGCTCAGCTCGCGTGGGGCAGCTTGTGTCCCACCAGCCTGCTCTGATCTAAAGGTGCCTGAAGCAGCAGCAGGCAGTGCCATGAGCGCAGCCTGACTGTCCCTGCCTGGGAATCCCAAATGCTTGTCTGCAAAGTCCTGCAGTACTGTGGGACCACAGGACTGCAGGAAGCTTACTGGCTCTGCTCTGGGTGGTCACCAGCCCACATCCAGTTGGTTTCAGTGAAGCATGGAGGAGTACGATGGGATGCGAGGAATGCTCTGAGCACCTGCTGATAGCCTTTAACCCCCAGTCCCCTTGTTCCGTGATTGGGAGAGATACTCAGCAAGTGTGTTCCCATCCAGTGCTGAGCATCAGGCACTTGGCCATGGAGCAGCAGTTGGCCTTTTGGGGAATACGAGAATGAGACCCTCCTAACCTCTCTTCAACTTCCTAACTCTCTGCATTAGCTGTTGTGTTGGTTGGCAGCACTGGAAAATGTATCTGCTATCTCTTCTCAGTTAAGAGCTGCACCTTGAGGGAGTATCAAGAAGCGGCATTTATACTGTAACAGCAGAAAAGTGGTTCATCAGCAGTAGTTCATTACAGACCCACATGTTCTCATTCCAGGCTTATATTAACAAGGAGGGAGATAAAGGACTAAGGTGACAGAGGCTGATGGATGTGGCAGCTGGGATGAGCCAGTCCCTATTTTAAGCATGCAGGCAAAATTTGGGGTCAAGCTGGAGAGGCTACAGAGTGATAAAGTGCCAGTGAACGCACAAACAACTCGGAGCATAGCCCTCCTCTTTCCATCTTCTTCCCCAACACCTCTCAGTCCTGCTGACAGGCTGACCTAGGAGGAGTGCTGCTCTTGCCTGCTCAACACAAGCCAGCAGGGATGAGCCCTGGGTGTGCACACACCCCCTGGGTGCAGAGGGCTTGGGCCCTGAGACCAGCCAGCCATACCACTGGACCTCCTCAAGGGCTCCAGCTCCCTCCTTTCCTGCTCCCCGTCCTGCCCCTGCAAGAACAATGACAGAGCAGCAATCCTCTCACGTCCCCTTCTCTTTCCCAGGGCTGCCATGGGAGTGCGGGCAAAGTAGCTTGTGTGATTTTATAGCTGAGTCTGGTTGCTCGAGCAGCAAGGCTATAAGATGTGGCTAGGTCCCCTGCTGTGTATTACCTCTGTGCAAGGATCTGCCACAGTTCATTCACTGCACCCTCTGTTAAACAGCTCTGCACTGATTTGTCTCTCACTTAACTGCAAGATCTGAAGAAATATTCTAGAAGCATCTACAAATCCAGCGTATCTTGGGCCTGATTTGCCCCAACCCAGTGTTTTTTTCTGGCTACTCTTTTATGTGCAAAATGACTGCATTGTGGGTGCCAAGCTGTCCTACAAGACTATCCCATTGCTTGCCTATATGGGAGAGGTCTGTGGTTTTGAGCTGAGTAAGCATTTGGTTTGTTTGCTTGCCCTAACAGAAAGGCTAGGCTGGGTTGGGGGTTTCAGTAAGAGGTTTAACTGATGGATGATGGAACAAAAGGGAGAGGAAACACTTGGTTTACACCAAGACGGCTATGAGAGGCCAAATCTAGGAACTAACCTGGAACTAGAGACCCAGAGTCCATGCTCAGATACAGCAATGCATATCCTGCACAGCTCCTGTTAAGGCTAAAGATTCACTCCAAGTTTACACTTGTGTAACAGGACACCATATGGCCTGATGCAGATGTCCAGAAATACAGTGGCCAAAGCCAATAGAGCAGGAATGCTTGACAGCAGGAAGTGCCTCAGCGCCACCATCTCTTCCCAATGTCAGCTTCCCCGAGGATGGTACCTGCAGAGGCTCCATGTGAGTGTCAGGGATCATACCAAGGAAGCGCAGTAGGGCCATACGGAAGGACACACAGCCATGTGCAGGGGTAGTCTGGAAGGACACACAGCCATGTAAAGGGATAGTCTGGAAAGAGTTCCTGTTCCCTCTCTGAAACACAGACTCACTAAGCAACTTAGGGAACGAGAGGAGAAGAGCACGTAGGTGCTCTTGAGTCTTTCATCTGCACTAAAGGACTTGAATTGGGTTGGTCATCAAGTCAGACCTACGCTCAGCAGAGTGACTCTTGGAATTAACAGGAATACAGAGACTGAAAGGCACAGCCAGGGCTCACCCGAGAGGACTGGTCCTCCACCCTGGCAGCACCATAGTCTTAGGCCTTATTTTATTGTCAGGGGTGGAGCAAGAGTAGGGCCAGCAGGAGACAAGCAACTGAACTAAATAGCTGCTCTTCTTCCCTTCATCCCTATCCTCTCTATTCTGCTTTTCCAGATCCGAAAGAGAAGCAAAGCGTGCCGTGGAGGCCTGTGGGAAAATGACGTGCTAGTATCTATCAACGGGAAGTCATGTGCTGGCCTCTCCCATGCTACTGCCATGCAGATCATTGACTCCTCCAATGGCACGCTCAACATCCGCGTGAAAAGGTAACCTGCTCCCAAGTGCTGGTGCTGTGACAGTGCAGGCATCAGGGCATCTTCATCCAGCCCAGCAGCTATCCACACCTAGCAGAAAGAAGGCAGGCAGAAGCCTTTGGTTTCTCCATACTGCAAGGTGTACTAGGAGGACTTCCCCATGGCTAACGTGGCCGTCCAAAAGTTTTGCACTGTCTCTGTGCTGCTCTCCAGAGTGCCTGGCCCTGGGGCTGAACTGACCCCAGACCTCCCTGCCCCTGCCCCTCAGGCTGGAGGGAAATGTTTGCAGTGTGAGGGCTATGCTGCAAAGAACGAGCAATTTAGGCTCCAAGCAAGCAGATCCCATAGGGCAGTTCATCTCAGCAATTAACAGAGACCCCAGTTCATTCTGTGTACATAACTGTTCTGTAGAAATGGATTTGACTACACATTGGATAATTGAGCCAAGACAAGATGACCCAAGTATTTACTAGAGCAGGCCGTTGCAGTCTGATAGGGTGTGAATTGACTTCAACAGAGCTGTGTAGCTGTGTCCCTTCTTGCAGGAAGAAATATCTCTGGCAAAGTCTCTACTCCAGCAGAATACTGGAGATCAGGCTCAAATTTAAGCACAAATATGGTCTCAGTAATGTCCCTGGTTCTACCTGTGCTAAAGCTAACCCAGTGCCTCAGCACATGCTGGATGAGGCCCAAGCTGTAAATTAATCATATAAAGATGAAGGCAGCAAAGCTGTGTGAGGTCCCAGCTAGTCCACAGTACTGCCAAAACAGAAGTCACCCTCAGGAAGTATGGCCCTGGTGAAGGGGGCTGGGAGATGCGGTTTTTTTACAGCCCTGAAAAGACAGAGCACTGTGAGCATTGGGGAGGGAGAGCCACACTGGTTGCTGGCATCTATAAAGTGGGGGCAGAGGTGGGCAGTGCTCAGAGAAGTAAAGCCTGAGCATGTAGGATCTTCCCCTTGGCTTCAGGGAAAGCGCCGGCACCTTCTGATGTGCTCACCCCATACCCTAGCTGTGATTAAGTGGGATGAGTGACCCCTGCACAAGGTGTCCAGAATAGCTCCTGGTCCCTTGCCAAAGCCTGATCTCACCCCATCGGAGCCTATCTGCAGCCAACAGGTGCCTGGGCAAATTCCAATGGGCCAAAATCAGCACACTTTGAATTAGCAAAGTGACAAAGGCAGGCTTCTCGCAGGCCCCTGGGAGCCAACACTGGATGGTTTGGAAATAATGTAACCAGTTGGCTTCATCTTGGGCTAGTGGAGAACTCATCAAATACTGCTTTCTGATCAGATCCCTATTCCCACTTCATATTTATGTTCCCAGGGAAAACACCAATCAGTCCTGTTCAGAAAGCAAAGGTAGCTGGATGACTCTGGAGTACGCAAGGTCATATGTTTATGTCTTCCAGTGTGGGATGTGTGTGAAGAGAGAGAAAGAGAGGCAGGGAGAGAGACTGTGACCTGACAGTGCAGAAGAGGAGAAACTGGCTTACAAGCAGTAATGCTTTTCAGTTATTTGGTCAACTATTTAAAGAAGAGAAAGGACTGCTCTGCTTTGCTTGGGGAGCTTTGAGTTTGTTCCCCAGTGAGAGTTCATAATAGCAAACATTATTAAAAAATAAACTGTCGGAGAAATCGCCCCACCCTTAGCTTCCACAAAGGTTTACATTTGACATGAATATAATTCTTCACAGTTCAGAATTGGGATCCAAGTCATGAATTCCACAGCTTTACAGAGGCAGTGCTGTCTGCCTGGCTTCCCAGTATGCATGCTCAGAAGGCAAATACTTAGGGCTCCTTTATAACTCTAACAAGCCCTGGTGACTCTGGCAAGGGAAGGAAGAAGTTCCCCACCCCATCTGCGTGGCCTGGTGTCAAACTGCTGTTGAAATCCAGACTCACTCTTGAGGAGCGGGAGGGCAGAGCTGGCTCTTTTCCCATCAGCACAGCCAGTTCTCCCTCCCTCTGGCAGTCAGCAGTCGGGCTCACTGCCCCAGTCTGCCCTGCCCCTACCCTAGTCATCCTTCCAGCTGACTTACAGACTAGAAGTTGCTATGTCTAAGCCAATGACAAATGCCACCATGGATTGGGCTGGCTGGCATGACTGCAGTGGGGTCGTCAAAACCCTGGTTTAGGCACTGGTGGCTAGCTTGCAAAGCAGTCCCGCAGTGAGCAGGCCACACGCATCAGGGTGGACCCCTACCACAGTATAGCAGAGTCCTACCCGCAAAAACGCTTGGGCCTTTTGCTCCTAAGTATTTGCTATTTACTCCCACGTAGAGGTCAGGGCAAACAAACAGCACCGACTCCTTTGTTTGGAGCCCTCTCTGAACTAAAGCAGTTTGGGGGATGCAGGATCTGCAGAGCTGACAGCTCCGTGGTGCAGTCCCAGCTGCGGGGGCAGCTGGAGCGCAGTGTGGTGGCTGAGGCACCACCTGCCCCCCCGGCAAGCCAAGCGGCAGGCTGCAGGGCTATGTCCCACTGTCCTGGGGAATGTTTGCTGTGCAGGAATTCACCTCCCCAGGAGAAATGCCTGGGGAGCTGATTAAGCTGTCTCAGTAGATTTTTATGCTCTCAGGGCATTCTGATTTTCAAGTGTTTAACACCTGGTTTTCAAAGAGTCATGAAGCAGAAAGTCAGGATGAGAGCATGTAGCTGATGTCAGAGATGAGTCTGCCCTTGGTGTCTGCAATTCAGGTGTCTGTACCACCTGAAAGACACCTGAAACACCAGCTCAATCCTTACTCCTCTCTCACATGTGGGAGTTTCCTCCCAGCTCAGCCCTACCAAGCAGACCTCGCTCACCGCTTTTCATTCTCCCCATAGGATAGTTGGTGGGGACCAGACCGGCCCACGGCTCCAGCGCCCCCCTTCTCCAGGGCAGCGAGTGCGGTCCACACCGTCCCCCCCCGCCGCCCCCCCTCGCCCCAAACCCGCCGGGCGCCCCAGCCACAGCACAGCCCTCGCAGCCACGGAAGTCGCAGAGGCACCTGGAGAGCCTCACCTCCCCACCGGACAGTGAGGCCTACTATGGCGAGACGGACAGCGATGCTGACAACGTGGCCCAGGAGAAGCACCGCCGGGCTCGCAAGAAAAGCCCGCGCTCCCCACCCGACAGCACCAACAGCAAGGGGGATGCGCCTCAGGATGAGGTGTCCCTGTCCGAACAGAGCGGCTACGAGAGCATGCCGGAGGCTGCTGCGCAGGGGGGACCCGAGGTGGCCACCTCTGTCGGGGTGGCCAAGAGGGAGATTGCCTGCCCGCCTGGCAGCCGCACAGACACTCCATTCTCGGAGAGCGAGGGACAGTTGCGGCCACCGTCAACAGAGGGACGGGAGCCTTCTCCAGAGGCGATGCTCCTGCCCCATGCCACCAAGGCTATCCGAGCAGAACGCCATCTCATCCCCATGGTGGGGCCAGTGGAGCACCCGGTTGACGAAGACCTAACCACCACGTATGCGGAGAAAGCCAAGCAGGCCAGTAAGTCCTCTGCACCCTGCCACTCACCCATGTCCTCTTCCTATGCTGGATCTCCTTCCAAAAACCTCATTCCTGTAAAGGTCCAGTGTGTTAGCTCCTCTAGCTTGGGAAGAAGCAGAGTCAAGTCAGACCTGCAGGGACTGGGGCTTCCTATTGTAGCTTTGGCACTGGGGTCTACCTCACCCAAGATGTCCCAAGGAACAGATGGGAGAAAGGGTCTGGGATCTGGGAGTCACTCATAGAAGCTGCAGCCACACAACCAGCTGTGCTCTAGCACGTATATGTGCTGGAAACAGGGTGGAGGTCATTGGTTTCTTCAACAGTTTGGGCTGAAGAAGACTCAGGGGAAATGATGGTGTCAGGGAAGAAGCTGGGGGTTAAATTTCCCAGGCCTGGCCTTTCAGAGATCTCACAGCAGCTCAGTTTGCTCCTTAGCTATCGGTGTGTCCAAGCACAGGACGCTCATTCCAAGGCTCCCGAGGAGCCCCCTGTTCAGCTCAGCTCTCCATGGGCACACAGGCATGTAGTATTACACATGATTAAGGACCACATAGAGATAATTTTCAGTCAGCATAGCCCTAAAAGAGTGTTGTCACTAGCTCATTTATTTCTCTCACTCTGTCAAGCTCCGGGAGGAGCTTGTCTACATCAACTTTTGGAGGATGTTTTCTCTGCAGGTACTTAACTGCAGCAAGGGTGTCCACGTCTGGCAGCAGCTGGTGAGCTCTGGTAGAATTTATCACTTTTTAGGTATTGGCAGTGGAGGGCTGCCAGCAAGGACAGGCGGGAGCTGGTAAATCAGCCTTTGGAACAGTTCCTTGTAGTGGGACCCCTACTAGTCAAGACCTCTCCACATGGAATACAGTACTGAAAAATGTAGTATAGTACATGGGTGATGGACCTGAAGTGACCTTAATTGTGAATATCTTTCCTGGTTTCTGCTACACGTGGAGTATTTCAAACCCAGACATGAAGGCAGAATAAGATGTTACCTGACTTCACAGCTGTGATCTATCCAGTAATATTAAAAACAAGGTAATCAAAAACTTGTTTTCATATGAGTACTTCAGTGTGCAGTATGATTGACTAATTGACGCTTCTGTGAGCCTAGAAACAAAGCAGGTTTTAAAAAGTGACTTAGCTGGGGGACAGAATGGGGAAACTGAGAAACAGAAATGTTACTAGACTGAATGAGAAATAAAGCACACAGATTCTCTGCTCCAAACGCTAGACATTTTCCCCCAGACCAGATAATATTGCAAGGCAATTGTTAAGCCTCTCTTTTCTCTTTTCCTTGGGCTAAACATTCCTTTATCTGTTCTGCCCAAGGGATCCTATAGGAGTAACTTTCAAAACTAGGCTGCTTCCATCAGGCAGGGCACTATCTTACTGCTCTGCCCTGTGTTGAGAGGACAGACTTGGTTGGGTCCTTTATGTGAGGCCCTGCTAGGCAGTACAACTGACCTGGTACTTTGTACTATTTCTTCCTAGTCTTTAGCACTTACTTTCCTTAGGACAGCAAAGAAAGTAGCAATTTCAGCCTCCCTGAGGATGAAGCTATTTTTTCCCCCTTTGAATAACGTACAAGCATGAGGTGAATGTTGAGAAAGGCATGTTCAGCTGCTCCCTGCCACCTGATAGTTCTAGCAGTGGATGAGCAATTGCTTTACATCAAGACTTATTTCCATGGACAGCGTCAGTACAGAAGGCTCCCAGGAAAGCCATGTATTTAATGCAGATCATTTCTGATGGCAAAATAATATCCCATGGCAGAAGATGATGCAACTCTCTTGCCAGCTAGAGGTAGGGTTCCCAGAAGCACTGCAGACTGAGATAATATTTTATTCTCCTATTACCCCTCCACTGCTCACCCCGCTTCTGGATTATGTTTGGCCATGGGTGTCCTTATGTAAGAGTTACTCTGCCATGGACGGCAACTCACATGGCCAGCTTGGCCTTTTATTGGGTTAGGAATCTTGGCAGTAAATGTGAAGGCAAAACTCTATGTCCTGATAATGCTGGAGCACTGCAGACATTAAAACAAAAGTCATGATCAGCAGCCAGTAACTCTATGAAGGAAGGAAGCAAAGAAGGAAGAGAGATGGAGGGTGTTCATTATGTGGTGAACAGCGCTAAGGAGCACCTATACCTGGAATAAACACAGGAGGATGTGGGACTGCTAAGCTGCACTGGCTTTGTGGGGAGGCTGCCTGCAGAGGAGCTATCGGCATGGGAGGCACACGGTACAGCATCTCTTGCCAGAAAGATGTAGCCTTGGCAAGGATGTTTGGGCATGCATTGGTTTAGCTCCTACAGCTGCTCCAGGCTCTGATGGAGCCAGCAGAGTTTAAAGCTCTGTTTCTCTGCCTTTCCTTAGTAATGCCCACAGCACAGTAGCCTACTCTGGAACACAGAGACTCCTGGGTTTTGCTAAACAAGAATGCAAAATGAAGCTCATGGTTTAGAAGCTAGGCAAGTTTTTAAAATCTGAGTTAACTACAGTAGGTGACTTGGACGATCAGTCATGGGAGCCTGGAGCTTGATATATACACAGAAGACATTTAAGGACCATTCTGACTACCTAATCAGATGTCTGCCTTTTGGAGCACTACCTATCTAAATATATTCCCAGTGCACCTGCTCAGCACACTCGCCTTGCCTTGCCATGGCCTTCTCCATTATAGCTCCCACCACTGCAACATAAGAATGTGAAAAACTCCTTTTTTCTTTGTTGGGACTGTTACCCAGATGGTTGCTCACCTTTTCTTTCTAGAACGTACTCCTTTCTCATGCCTGCTCTGATGTTTTCTCCAATTTTGGGGGTATTTGTTTTGTCCTTTGTATTCATTCTTTCTAACTTTTCACTGTAATTTTTAAGCTACAGAGACTTTCTCCCTTTCCCACCTGTCCCTGCACCTCAGGCAGACAGAATTGCAGGTATAGTATTTCTAGATGAGTATCTAGAAACATCACATTTCTAGATGAATAATTGAAATCCCTGTACAAGAACAAAGATACATAATAATTCTCTTGTACATCACTGAGAGTAGCAACTGACATCCTTCACAGCTCTATCGCCCTGCAAGGATCTATCTCAGTAAGACTGCTATATCGCCTGTCAGCTCTTGGGTTTTCTCAAACTTAAGGTCTGTAGCTCTGCTCTTTATTTCCTGTCTCTAGAGCTTTTGTAGACCTTTGTCCTCACTGCATGCTTTCCAGAGCTCTGAGCTTTCCAGATCATAGGCAAGTTGATTCAGCCCCCCTACCTCCCCTTTTCTGTATGATTTTCCTTCATTTCTGATGTTGTTAGCAAATCTGATCTGGGCTGACTGTATACTGTCCTCAAGACCATCACTGAAACTAAGAAATGTTTCCCATATTTCCCCACCATCTTTCCTAGTCTCATCATGATGGGTGATCACTCTTTATGTTCTGATTGTTACCAATTCATTTTCTCTTCATTTTCATCTGACTGACATTTCTCCAGTACATGTATTTATTTTTGCATCAACTCCACCAACTCCTGACAACTACAGCTGCTTTCCTTGTCTTTGCTGTGAGGATACAAATCACATGGCAATTGCCGGAGGTGACACTGCTGTAACACCTGCTTTGCACTGCAGTAAGTCAGGAGCAAATGGAGCTCACTTGTACACTAGGCAAGGATTTGACTCTGGGAGCAGAATGCAGTGTGGTGGCAAGAACCAACAGCCCAAGAGAGGATTTGACAGTGGGTGGAGTGGAGCAAAATAAGCACAGGAAAGAAGGGGCAGGAGCTGACAGTGCCACCTCACAATGCCCCACATGTCACCAGCTGCTGAGCTTGCCTCTCCTTCCCCAGCAAAGACACAAGGCCTTGGAACTCCTTAGAGAGGCAACAGGCCTTGCAGTGAGGTTTGGGCCTGTCCTTCCAAAGTTCCTGCTCTATCACAATTTGTACATTGGTATTGGCTCATTTTTTCCAACCTGTGGGATGAGCATGTACATCATCCCAGCCCTCCACAGGACACATGACTTGGACATGCCTGCTCAAAAACCACTTGGAGCATTGCTGATGCAGACTAGTGGGGCAGTGTGGGGAGCCACACACCGTCCAAATGTGGGAAACTCGCCCTACAAGTAATAGGACTTCAGTCTTCATTGCTACCCAGTGGCTACTATGCACCCTGGTGTTTTGGTCAGTGGGGCAAGAGAACAGCCAGCAAACAGGGACTCTTTGCTGTACTCTAAATGAACTACAGGAGAGCATTCATACTTGCAAATAGCCAGTATTTTGCCTAATCTGAAGAAACAAAAGTACAAATTTGTCTCCTCCTCACTACAGCAGTAACTTGCTCTCTTTAAAGAGGTGATTAATCCCTGGGGCAATCGGGGATCTTTAGGGCCTAAGTTCATCATCACTGTAAAGGGCCAAGCCACACCCCTCCCTGAAATGATTTCTGTGCTGCTTGGACAGTGCAGAAGGAAAGGAAGAGATAACAAGACAGAAAATACAAATAAAAATAATCTGAATGAGTTTCAGGAGGTTAGTGGAAAGCAGGAGCTTGTGGCAGGGAGAATCAGACTATAGTTGTCACAAGTAATTGCTAGTGAGGTTCTTTGGTTCCCTGTAGCTCCTGCAGTGTCCTCCTCTGCTCACCCCACCCTCACAGCCTTGGGATCCATCTGTAGCCAGGACTGTGGGTGTGCTCTCTAAGGTGCACTCTACTTTCACCCCCATCCTAAATCATCTCCCAGGGACAATGGGCTCAGGCTTTCTCACAACTGGAAATACCAGTTGCTAGCAGAATACAGACCTACCAGGACAGCTGTCTAGTCCTAACTTGCTATCACACTGTAGGAATTTGTTTCAGTGCAAGAAGTGCTTCAAAATATCTCAATTTAAACTTATCCGCTGGACTATTTTTAGTTCCCAGGACTCGAGAGCCTCTCCATGTACGGTAGGGGAAGGGAGGGAAAAATGGGTGGGGAAATTTCCTCCTCTGCTTTATATGGGCCTG